AATTTTTTAGGGGTTGGGGGTTGATCCCAAGTTGTATGGTTAGGTCAGGCTGAGGGAAGCCTTGTACCTCCAAGGTGAGTGCCAGACAGGCATAATTTATGTCATTAAACTGACATCTGCTGACGTAGATTTGGAGTTTGCTGGCACGAGTATCATTCAAACAGAGTAAATCTCTGGTTCTGGTGGAAAAACATTTGAACTCTATATCCAAATTTACAGTTTAGGGACACTTTTAGCCTGCTGATGGTCTTCGTCTCTCTCTCTGTGTTTTTTGAAGTTAGTTTAGACTTACAGAAACGTTGCAGAAATAGTACGTAGAGTTACCAAATATGGTTTGTCCAGCTTCCCCTAATGTTATGCAGCCATAGTTCAATTATAAGAACCAGGAAGCTATCATTGATATAATACCATTAACTAATCTATACATTTCCGTTGAATTATATTATTTTTTTCACCAGTCCTTTTTACTGGTTCAGGATCCAGACCAGGATCCATTGCATTTAGTTGCCATATCTCCTCATTCTCCTCCAGTCTGTGACAGCTTCTCAGTCTTTCTTTGTTCTTTGTGACCCAACACTTAAAGAATAACTGGCTATTTCCTTTGTAGAATAGTCCTCAATTTAAATTTGTCTGTTTTCTTGTGATTAGACTGAGGTTATCCATTTTGACAGGAATATCATAGAATAATATTGTACCCTTGTCAGCATATCATATCAGGGGTACACGTGATCAGTATTTCTTGTTCCTTGTGCTGCTAACTTTGATCATATGGCTAGGGTGGTTTCTTCCAGGTTTCTCCACTGTAAAGTTATTATTTTTATCTTTGTAATTAATAAATATTTTGTTGGGTGGATACTTTGAGACAAGGCGGATACCTTGTTTCTCATCATACATCTGTCTACTGGTTTTAGCATCCATTGGTAATTCTTACTTGTAATCATTATTACCTTGCTGTTTGCCGAATGGTGATTTTCTATTTCCATCATTCCTTCTGTGTTTTTGAATCGTAATTTTACTGTAATGAGGAACTGACCCTTTCCTTCCATATTTTAATTTATTCAGTTATTTATTTATTTATTTATTTTCAGTTATTTATATCAGTATGGATTCAGGGATATTTATTTTATGAATTATAACCTAATATTTTTCATTTGGCCATTGAGAACTCCTTTAAGTTGGCTTCTGAGTCTTTCTGACATGACTTCATCACTTTATGAGCACGTCCTCATATTTTGGTACCACAATGATATTCTAGGCTCAACTTTTATTTTCATTGTTCCAGCCCTTCAAACGACTATTTATCTAGGGAGTCCTGGTTCCCTTTATTAGGTAATGATATTTAGAAACCAAGATCCCTGGGCTAAGTGTGCTCATTGCTACTGGGGTTGATCTTTGCCTGTAGCCTCTTTCAGTGGATGGAGTTAGGAAATATATATATGTATACTCTCACATACATATACACATTTATTTCTCTATATATGTATGTGTGTATATATTAAAATCCATGAGGAAATACTAATACCTCAATTCCCATTAAACATCATGGGCTTTTGTTTTTTTTTTGTCATAGAATTTTGCTCTGTTGCCCAGGCTGGAGTACAGTGGTGCAATCTTGGCTCACTGCAACCTCCATCTCATGGGTTCAAGTGATTCTTCTGCCTCAGTCTCCTGAGTAGCTGGGATTACAGGTGCACGCCACCCCACCTGGCTAATTTTTTGTATATTTAGTAGAGGTAGGGTTTCATTATATTGGCCAGGCTGGTTTCAAACTCCTGACCTCAATTGATCCATTTGCCTCGACCTCGTAAAGCGTTAGGATTACAGGCGTGAGCCACTGTGCCCGGCCTATCATGGACATTTCTTATGAGAGTTCTCATAATCATTTACAAACAATGTTGGAAATAAATGTTCTCATTGACTTGGAAATAATCTAATAATAGAATCCTCCTTGACCTTAACATTTTAATCTCCATTACTCGTGATGAGAAAAGTTTTTAACCACCTCACCCTGGTTTCCAATTGACAAAATCTTCCCCTCTACCTAAACTTCATCTCCAGCAGATATAAGAAGTGTATTTCCTAAGACAGCAGTCATTTCATAATGATTTGACAGGGCTGTCCAGTACATCCCGATGGGACTTACGCTTCTTCAATTTTCAGAAGGAATAATAATGCCCTGTATTAGGATTGCAAGTTATAGCCACTCTGAAGTGGTCCAGAGTTTTCCACATTTTAGTGATCAGCTGTCTCTCCATCTTTACATCATAAATACGACTCGTGCTCCTGCAATTCACACCAGGGCATACTGGATAAGTTACTTAATCCTCCCAGAAGAGTGTGTAAATTTATTTAGAATATCTCAGCCCCACAGAACTCTGAATATGAAGAGATCTGAACCTTCTAATAGTCACAATTTCTTAGTGACTTTTCCATCTTTGAGCTGGATAGTATGTAAAGAAATGGATACAAAAACTCTATGCACAGGCAGTGATGATTGAGTATGTAAAAGTCATTGTAGAGGAGGCAGGGAACTACTTCAAGGACATCTGACACCCCATGAGTCAACGGTTTTTTCTTTTTGTTGTTTTTGGGTTTTTTTTTGTAGAAACAGGGTCTTGCTGTCTTGCCCAAAGGGCTGGAGTGCAGTGGTATGACCGTAGCTCACTGCAACCTTGAACTCCTGGGCTTAAGTGATTCTCCCACTTCAGCCATCTGAGTAGCTGGGACAATAGGCACAAGCCACTGTGCCCGGCTACTTTTCTTTTAGTTTTTGTGGAGACAGGGTCTTGGTATGTTACCCAGGCATCCTGATTTTTACCTAAAACATATCTGTGTCTCAAAGATCTGGTACTGCTGTTTAGGCAAAGCTCAAGAACCTTTGCAGTTGTATTCCCAGAGATATGTATTAGTGTCATTTCTAAGATTTCCCCCTCAGCATGGTACAGGGTAGGGTTTCAAAGATGGCTTTTGAAGAGTAGAAGAGGTAGAATGATCAAAGTAATAGTATAAAGTGGGCTTTGTCTTTGACAGACATTATGTACCTGTTAGGTGCCAGGCACTGTGCTTGGTAGGTGATAATTCAGAAAGGGAAGAAGAAATTTAAGGGAGATTTCAGGAGTAGAATCTTATAATTCAGAAATGAATTGAATGGAGCCAAGACTGAGGGCTTCAATATTGGAGAAATGTAAGTGATAATTTCTAGCAGTGAGATGGAATACAGAAGGGGAAACTTTTGAGAAGTGGAGTTCAGAAAAGAAGCAAGTGAGGATAATTCATATTTCTAGACCGGAGAAGGTCATCATATTGGTTTCAAACATAGAGTAGTGGGAAGCTACTGAGTCAGAGCTATTATTTAATCAATAAGGAAAACAGAATCAAAACTTACTTGTCCACTAAGCTTTCCTTGATTAGTACTACATTACTATAGAGTATAGAATTAGGTGTCCACTCAGCCCCTAAGAACTTAACACATTTTATACTATTTTTGGTATCATATTTTTATGTGAATTTATGTAATTTTTAGCTTGTGGTTGTTCATTCTATACCTGCATCACACGGATCTACTGCTGTATCTTCTCCCTCTACCACATACAAAGCCTTGTACCTTGCTGTGAGCACAGTAGTTGAGTGAACACTTGTGACATGAGTGCTGAATGAAGATTGAAACCATTCATTAGTTCTTACCATTGAAAATCAACAGTGAGACCCAAAGCTGATTCACAGTTAAAAATCTGATTTTCTTATTCAGTAATGCAGAGTTTTACCAGAAGTGTGATTAAAAACCAGTCTTTTGAAATGTCACCAAAATAAAATCCTTGACAGATACAACACTACTAGGTATATCATTAAAATATATTCTTAATATAATAAACGCCTAGAATCAGAACATTGGTTGAAAACACAGGAGCTTTACGGGGGCAGTAAATTTGGAGCTAGTCACATTTTAAATTTGCCATCGGTGGTTCTTTGTTGAATCCAGAAGATAGAGCAAATTGAGCTGATAGTGCAAGTTAGCAACGTAGTTTTATACAAGATTCTGGAATTTTAGGATTTTTGAGTGAGGAGGGCATTAGAATACAAACTTCTTAAATATCTACTTTTGCCATAAAAGCACTCCCCCATCTTACAAAAACTTATGAGTGCCATAGATGAAGATTTGTGGAAACTAAACTTTTTGGTTCTTCTCCCCTGTTTCCTTACCAGGTAAAAATTTTATGTTGAAATATATTGGGTCCTATCTTTAAGTGGTCTGAATAGCTATGTTTGAATGTATTTTTATTATGTAGTCAGAGACACTAAACCATTGAAATGGGATTTATGCCCCTTGCCACAAAGTATATAGCATTGTATTTTAAATGACTTGCTATAAACAACAAGGGTTTTGTCTTGTGCCTCAAAAGTTTTATGGTAGACATTCTTTAGAACAATATTCTTTCCTGCTGGTTATGGAATCCATCCCCAAGGCAGGGCTTGCCGTTGATTGATTGTTACTGAGGTCACCTCTTAGTTTGAGTGAACATGGCTTGTTCTTCAGAGCAAGTGGGAAAACTGACTGACTTGTGCGATGTGCTCAAGTCTATTTTGAATAATGAAGTTGGACTCTGGGAAGTCTTAGTATGAAGACCTTATCTGTTTCTATTTGCTTCTTGCTTGCATGAGAATTTCTAGAGGGGGAATTGGAGCGTCTTACCTTCTGAATTGGATTGAGGGGCAAGAGATCATCATTTGATGTTCTCTGGAATCTCGAAGGTATGAAATAGTCCTTCTGAGGCTCTTGTTCTGCTTCAGCTAGAGTAATTTAAATCATGTGATGTGACCCTTATGAACCCTTCAGAGGTATTCAGAGAATAAATAACAAGGTCAGACCTTCTACTAAAGTGTTTCTGATATAAGCCATGAAACCAATCTCTCTGCACCTTCCCCTCTGCCTGTCAACGTGTGACCTCATGGTGTTCTGTGCCTCTGATGGTTGTTTCTCTCCCTCGTTCTTCCTCTCGCAGACATGCCTTGAATTGGAACGCTACCTGCAGACGGAGCCCAGGAGGATCTCGGAGACCTTTGGTGAGGACTTGGACTGTTTCCTCCACGCCTCCCCTCCCCCGTGCATTGAGGAAAGCTTCCGTCGCTTAGACCCCCTGCTGCTCCCCGTGGAAGCGGCCATCTGTGAGAAGAGCTCAGCAGTGGACATCTTGCTCTCTCGGGACAAGTTGCTATCTGAGACCTGCCTCAGCCTCCAGCCGGCCAGCTCTTCTCTAGACAGCTACACAGCCGTCAACCAGGCCCAGCTCAACGCAGTGACCTCATTAACGCCCCCATCGTCCCCTGAGCTCAGCCGCCATCTGGTCAAAACCTCACAAACTCTCTCTGCCGTGGATGGCACGGTGACGTTGAAACTGGTGGCCAAGAAGGCTGCTCTCAGCTCCGTAAAGGTGGGAGGGGTCGCAACAGCTGCAGCAGCCGTGACGGCTGCCGGAGCCGTTAAGAGTGGACAGAGCGACAGTGACCAAGGAGGGCTAGGGGCTGAAGCATGTCCCGAAAACAAGAAGAGGGTTCACCGTTGTCAGTTTAACGGGTGCCGGAAAGTTTATACAAAAAGCTCCCACTTAAAGGCCCACCAGAGGACTCACACAGGTAGTGGTACAAGTTGGCCGCACGTGGTTTCTTCTCCTTTCCCCTCCTGTAGCCTCCTCATGTGGGAGGGCTCCTCTTTGTTCTGAGGAGTGGCATCCCTGCTGATGAGGAGGTGATAGACAGGCGGGAGGGCCCAGGTAGGGACAAAGAATGACTCACTTGTTACCTTAAGATCTCAAGATGTCCCAAGCACAGGACATGGGTTTGTCCCTACAGTGCCAACCACAGCATAGAATCACGCAGTTCTGACGATGGCTGAAGGGGGCCCTGGCAGTGACTCGTTGCTGTTTGTGACTCAGACACTTGTCGCTTTCCTGACACTTTGCATTGTTTTGCGAGTGTAGCTCCACAGTTTTGATCAACACTGGGGTCTGAGGATGCATTTGAAAGCAGTCACAGTTAAACAAGGTAGCCAGGGTGTCCCTATTCACTCTTTTCCCAGCATCCTGATTTTTCATCAAAGTCACCAACAGCAGGAGGGTTTCAGAGTTCATTAGATGTGATCATTCTATAATTAATTGGCATCTCCTCTTTTGCATTGTTCTCTGGCGCGTGCTTTATGGAGAGATGGCAGAATTGCTTTTTAATGAGCTTGTTACTGAGAAGTTGCTAAAGTGATTACATTGCTATGTGTGTGGTAAGAGCGGGTGGGGGAGGAATGGGGATTGTGTATTTTACTCAGGGCATCCTAGTAGCCCAGGAAGAGACACTACCCCTAAGTTCCAATCATATTGATCTTTTGAGCAATGGGATAATTTGGAAAAGTGGGGTTTACACAGAAAAGAGTGAGACTCGTATTTTTCTTGGAACTGGTCTTTGTTCTCTTCTTTGAGATTGGAGCTTAGGGGTAGTGTCTCTTCCTGAGCTACGAGGATGCTAGTAGCAGTTACCGTGATTGGTGGCTTTTAAGTGACTCTCCATCAGTGTGCTACCTGTGTGGTTTTTGCATACTGTTTGCATGCTGCGAGCTGAATAGGGAAAATCCCCAAAGGTGTAAGTGGAAGTATAAAAGCATTCTTGGAGAGAAATCAGTGATGGCATATAAGCTAGGAAAAGTGTTTGGTGCTGTGGGGGGCCTTCTGGGCTGTGCCACCAAAGAAGTGTGCAGGGGAGAGATTGTTGGCTGCAAAATCAAAACAACCTGGGCTTTAGTTCTAACTCTGCCACTCTCTAGCTCTGTGACCTTGAGCCTGTTCCTTTACCTCGCCAGAGCTCATTGTCCACATCTGTTGAACAATCTGACTCTTAAGGCCCCTTTCAATTCTAATGTTCTGGAGGTCTATGAACTATTTTTGTGTAGTAGAGAAGAACTTTCTGAAGTTCAAATACATAATGTGTGACAGAGGAAATCACTGTTTTGAACCTCAGAGTTATTCCCATGGGAGAGTGAAGACTGACATTACTTCCTTGCACACCAGGACTTGGGCCTGTACTACTCTAATTCTGAACTTAATTTCCTGTGTGGCTCTTGCTTGGTTCATGGGACAGTCTCCTAACATAATGATTATATCCCGTGGCTCAGGCAGAGACCCACTCATGGTTTCTCATCAGAATTTGGGTTCCAGTTCACCACTCCACATACACCAAGGCTAATGCTTCATGCTATTGTCAGTTTTTGCTTCTTTGATATTGTCCTGAAGGTAGTTTTTATTGATATTTCTTTCTTTGTAAAGTCAATGAGTAAAGTAATGGCAAGACATTGGAAAGACACTGCAGTGCTCCCAGGCTGGAGTGCATGACTCATCTCCTGGCCCCTCCAGGAAACCAGAGAAGGCAGAAAAGGGCAAGAATGTTGTGTTGTCTTGGGGCTGTGGAGTTCATGATTATGGACACTTTTTGAATTATTGGCACTAAGGGCACATCCTGCTTAGCATGGAGGCTGGACAGCTCTGGGAAAGCAGAGATTGTTTTTAGGGAGTCCAGAGCATTTTCTTCTTCTTTCTTATCCCCTCTTTCCAACAGAGATGTCAGGAGGGTGACTGTTAGAGTTGATGCATTATTTAGTGCTTTGTTTTTTTGAGCATTGTCTACTCAGAGTGATTACCAAGGTAGAGCTCATTATGTTACCTGGCACCTGCAACTACTTGCCTTATGTTGGACTAAAGTGGAAAACTCCTATAGGGAATTCACTCAGGGAGGCACCAGCATTATTAGAAAAGCAGTATTGCAGAGCAGTTAAGAGCTGAGCTTTGTGATCAGGTGGACTTGGGTTAATGTCCTCACCCTATCGCTTCCTAGATTTATGACCTCAGTTTCCTCATTTCTAAAATAGAGACAATTGTGTCTACCTCCTAGATTGTTTTGAATATTAAATGAGCAGATATCTGTAAAATACTTGTAAAAAAACAAAATACCTGATAGATAGTAAGAACTCATTACAGATAGTAGTGGGGTTGATTATAGCTATTACTATTGTTGTTGATATTAGTGATGACTGAGTGAAAAAAGAGCTTTGTAAGCCAGAAATAAGCCAGTTAGCCAAAGTTAAATACCGTAAAACAGCAAGAAGCTTTTTCCCTCTCGCTGCCAGTGGTTGATCAATGGGATGTGGGGTGATGACACTGTGGACACAAGTTACGGAGGATAAACCAGACATGCAAGCATTGGCCCATGGAAGTTGGCAGTAAGGCGGAAAGATCATGCCTTTCCTCCCACAACACAGTAAGCAGTTGCGTGGCATCCGCGGAAGCATTTTGCCTATAAAACCTTCCTCAGAGACATGCACAGAAGGGAAAGTAGGTGCTACAAGAAAGAGAAACAGATAAAAGGGGAGGTAGAGACAGGGATGGAGGGTGGGGAGAATATGAATTAATTTGGATTAAATGGATGAGAATCAGAAGTACTTATTTGGAATTGGTGTGAATTGGAGCACATGGGGAACTGAAAACAAAGGTGATAATTTATGTGGTGTAGATGAACTAAGAATAATGAAAAAAGCATGAAGGATGGAATCAAATTAAGTGCAAACATGTAAAGGAAATGGACTGGTAAAAGCTCGAGGGCAAAGGTATATGGAGATGGGAATTCAGGTTGGAAAGAGGCTGCTGATATAAGGCTTGGAGTTGGGAGAGCTGCTGACCAAATGTGGAAATGAAGATTTTTTAAAAATGGGCTCTGGTTGGATTCAGGCAAGCTATTTTAACACAGGACTCACTTTAATTCAGTCAGAATATTTCTTATCTTCCAGTTGGAGAGGTGTTTTGATACAGGAAAAAAAGGGAGATAGGAATACCATCCCAGAGAAAGAAGAGAAATATTTGCATTTTATTCTCTACAGTTGCAGATACATGCTATATCTCTTCTACGTGGTAATACATTGCAAAGGAGAAACAGTGAAGAAATGAAGTAAAATAAAATGTGTGTGTCTTCCTTTTACATGCATAAAGGAAGACAATACATGTTGGTAACATGGATTTGCTTGCATTGAATAATTTTTAAGGTGTTATTCATTTAATCTTTATATAGATAGAATTTACTGAGCTGAAAAAGATATGCATTTTTTTCCTTCTGTGGCTGTTTTTTGAGGATGCTGAATCCTTCAAAATTTTTGCCCTGGAGGATATTAGGCAATGAGGTGATTTTTTATTTATTATTTTTTAAGGTAGCAGATGTTCACATTGGTAGCTAGGGCACAAACACGGGTTGCCCAAGGAAGTAAAGTTAGAGATGGGGGTACTGAGCTGGAGGTGCAGGATGACGAGGCAAGGACTGGGACAAAGGGAATATTATGAAGTAGCAGGATTTAGTGAAAGGAAGCATATAAAAATAGACATAAGGGCCAAGCGCTGTGGCTCACGCCTATAATCCTAGCACTTTGGGAGGCTGAGGCAGGTGGATCACCTGAGGTCAGGAGTTCGAGACCAGCCTGACCAACACCCATCTCTACTAAAAATACAGAAATTAGTTGGGCATGGTGGCAGCGCCTGTAGTCCCAGCTACTCAGGAGACTGAGGCAGGAGAATCGCTTGACCCCAGGAGAGTTTGCAGTGAACCTAGATTGCACCACTGCACTCCAGCCTGGGTGACAGAACAAGACCCTGTCTCAAAAACAATAAAAATATTTTTTAAATGGACATATGGTTTATTCATTGGGAAGAGCACTTAGTGTTGGCATGAGCGTAAAAATGTTCTTAGCAGCCAAGCCATTGCAGAGCTTTCTCTCCTACTTTGTTTTCTGGTCTTCATATATTTTTCTTTCTACAGGTTCTACCATTATGATCATAGTTGTATTCATCTTCTTGAGTCAGCTAAATAATCCTTAATATTTTGATGAAAGGTAACTTTCACTTCCAATGTTAAAAAAAAAAAAACAACTTCATGCTCATTCTCAGCAAAAATCAAATTTTAAAAAATCTTAATAGTTTCTGTGTAAAAAAAGGAAAGAAGTATTTTCTACATTTCTTCTTAATTACTTCTGAGAAGAGATAAAAACCTTTCATTGAAATGGTGCTTTGTGCTAAGTGAACAGACTTTTCAAATTTGAAAATGCATATAAAGGCACGTCCACATTTATGTTACTATGCGTGAGTCATATTGGAAAAGTCAGGACAACGGCCATTCGATCTTTGATTCTTGGTCGCAGTGAAGGGAGATATGAAGAAGCCTTGTTCTCTTTACGTGCTGCTTGGAGGACTCTCTCTCTAGACTGAAGTTGCTGTCACCTAAACCATAGGTGGTGATAAGCATTCTCTAGATTTTGTACTGAAGAGTGTAACAGGATGCTTTTCAGGTGGAAAAGTAATACAAATGTGCAATTTGCTTAGCATTTTACATTTGCTTTGGGGCCCATCTTACTGAATCAGAAAGTGGCACAATCTCTAAGTTTAATCAGAATTTAGGGAACTAGTTTATTTTCAGATGAAAAGGTGACTAAAAATACTACAAACAAAAAGACCAGTGTAGCATTCAAAAGGCAAACAGAAGTTATGTCCTACATGTAATGAAAGGCCTTTAAAGTTTGAAATACAATTTATTTTACTTATTCAACAAATACATACAAA